CCTTCTCCATTGGCCTGTTCACTGATCGCGCCGCTAAGAATCAATCGACTTTACATTCAAAAAAGTGTAGCGTAAATAGATAACAGATTTATGTTTTCTTTTTCACATGTACTAGTTCAGTAGGACATTCTTACCTCTTATTGTTGATAATGATGCAAGAGCGTAATTAATGTCTATTATCTCGGAGTTTTCTTAGCCTATATTCTAAATGACTAACGAGCTATCTAAACCTATCCGCTCCAATATTAAAATATCACAGGTCTAACGAAGAGTCATCGCATATAATATATCTAGATTCTAGAACGTCTTGTAGCACGTGGAGATCTGGTAAACTGTATTTCATTGCCAGTGATGTCCAAACAAAAATAATTTCAACATATTTATTACTTTATTAGTTCAATTCTCGGTAATCTTCGCTTTGATCGAATAGAAGAAATATGGAAACCTTTATATATCCAAACTGAAAACGTCGAAAACATCAATGAGGATCCAAATGAGAATCAAAGGAATAATTTGAGAACGACAAGCGTGCATTTTTCAAACCTTTACTTCATTCAATATGTTTATCGTTCAAAGTTAGTTTAATTGTCGTTTTACAATGTTCCATATTTGATGTCTTTCTCCGTGATATTAATTGTGATCAGTAGAAGCGGATCTTCATGCTATGAGAACAGAATAAACAAAAAACGTAAAATCTGGTACAAAATTGAATTTTGGTTTTTCCATGTGTCTTTTCCCCTTCCATCAAGATCCGAGGGATTTCTTTCGTTGATTCCTTTTCGTCATAGACTGAAATATACTTCGGCAACACTATAGACCGCAATAATCTTCATAGAGGAATATATAACACACGCACGAAAATCATTTAGTAAAAAGGTTCTAAATTCCTAACGCGTCTTTTATATACGTTTTACACACAGGTCTTACATTGTTTTCAACAAACTATTTGTTCAACACGGCGCTGCACATCGAACAATTTGATATTTTGATACCCGTTATATTATGCGACGGGATTGACAACTTTCCACACATGACGTCTAATTCGTGATCCTCGACCTCGATTACGTGTCATCAGTCATTTTCTAATGAGGTTGGTTAAGTTTTCATTGAGTTATGAAATGCTGCAATCTGATTGGATCATGCAAACAAACAAACAAACAAACTTATTGCATTTTAGTGGCCTGATTTATGACGCTATAACCCTTTCTTTCAGAAAAGGGAATA